TGTAGAGATGAGGTCTCACCAAGTTGCCCAGGTGGGTCTCAAACCCGCGGACTCAGGCAAACCACTCACCTCAGCTTCCCAAAGCGTGGAATTACAGGCTGAGCCACCGAGCCTGGCTGACAGATTCTATTTCTAATGGACATGCTTATCTAAAAGTTGAAGGGTAAAAACCCCCCTCACCTCCAGGCCACTCAGTTTTCAGACCCCTGCTCCAGGCCTCCACCTACACCTCAGGCAGCAGATTAAAAGATTCGTCTCTATCCTATAGACAGTGATGCTGGGGAACCCCCGACACAGTGGCCACTTTCAGTCCAGTCTCCCTGCAGAGACAAGAGTCCCTTCTCCAGTTCCAGTCAGCTCTGAAGTGATTCATTCTTAAATAGAAACAGACAACCAAGGTCACTGACATCTTATTACATAAAAGGCAAAGGCCAAAACAGAGAAAAGGAACTCAGAGGAAACAGGCCATACGGGAAGCAGAAGGAACTCGAACAGAATAACTCTAAAGAATATCATCAGTGAGATAAGATAAAAGATTGCATCTACAAGACACAAACAGGATGCTGTCAGCAGGGAGCATCAGACAACAAGACAGAGGGCTTAGAAATATTGAAAAATCGTTCCAGCTACTTGGAAGCCTGAGGTGGAAGGACTGCCTAAACCCAGCAAGTCAAGGCTGCAGTGGCCGTGAGTGTGCCACTGCACTCCAGCCTGGGCGACAAGAGTGAGACTCCAACTCAAAAAGAAAAAGAAATATTGAAAAATCATATTGAAAGTATGAAAACAAAAATTAAAAAGGCAACCAATGGGTTGGAAGATAAAGTCTAGGACTCTCCCAGAAAGCAGAACAGAAAGGTCAGTGGAATGAAAAGTAAGAGAAAAGAAATTAGAAAATTCGAAGTTGATTCCAGAATGTGCACGGACTAAAAGGAGTTTCAGAAAAGAGAGGATCAAAACCAGAGGGAAAGAAATGCCCAAGATATAGTGTAAGAACATTTTCAAGAAATAAAAGACATGAGTTTCCCGATGAAAGGACCACCATGGGCAGATGAAAAAGACCTGCATCAGAGCACGTCCACGAGACATTTAAAAGCACAAAAAGAGACAGGCTCGGTGGCTCAGCCTGTAATCCCACGCCTTGGGAGGCTGAGGTGAGTGGACTGCCTGAGCCCGTGGGTTCGAGACCCGCCTGGGCAACTTGGAGAGACCTCATCTCTACAATATATCAAAAAATCAGCCGGGCGTGGTAGCAAGCGCCTGTAATTCCGGCTACTTGGAAGGCTGAGGCGGAACGGTCGCCGGATCCCAGCAGGTCGAGGCTGCGATGGCCGGGAGCAGCCGCTGCACTTCAGTCTGGGTGACAGAGTGGGACTCCAACTCAAAAAAAAGAAGATCCTTCCGCTTATATAGAGAGAGGGGAACGAAAAGGTTCAGGGGGCAAATGACACAGCACCTCCCATAACGCCTGATGCCAAAACTCAGGGTCTTCAAAATTCTAGGGAAAATGATGTTTCAACCTGTTCTATACCCAGCAAAAGAACAAATGAGGTGTGAAGGTTGAACAAAGATATTTTCAGATACACGATGAAAAAAGTGTCCTTCTAGGTACTCTTTGTCAGATAGGTACTAGAGGATGTAGTACCTAACTAACTAACACAAGGAAAGAGTAAACCAAAGACAGGGCGACAAGAAGGAAAGAGAGTAGGAACCATGGAAGGTGAAGGGAATTCTCAGCACGAAGGTGGTTAAGGGAGCTGAGTGCATCTAGTGACAAGCAGCCCAACTCAAGCAGGAGGGGAGAAAGCTCTAGAAAGAACACTGGCAAATATAATGGGTTGAATAGTGTTCCCCGCAATTTCATGTCTACCCAGAACCTCACAATGTAACCTTATTTGGAAATAGGGTCTTTGCAGTTGTAATTGGTTAAGATGAAGCCGTACTGGGTTAGTGTAGGTTCCTACTCCATTGTGATCGTAATCCTTATAAGCAGGTCTTGAAACACAAGGGAGACATAGAGGAAGGAGTTCATATAATGACACAGACAGAAATGGGAGTGATATGGCTACAAGATAAGAAATGTCAAGCATTGCCAGCCACCACCAGAAGTTAGGAGATATGGAACAGAGACTTCTTCAGACACTCCAGAGGGAACCAACCCCTTGATTTCAGATGTCTGACCTCCAGAACTGTGAGAGAATCCATTTAAATTGTTTTAAACCACCACGTTTGTGTCAAATTTTTTTTTTTTTTGAGTCAGGGTCTCGCTCTGTTGCCCAGGCTGAAATGCAATGGCACGATCATGGCTCACCACAGCTTCAACTTTCCAGGATCAGGCGATCCTTCTGCCTCAGCCTCCAGAGTAGTTGGGACTACAGGCATACGCCATCACACCTGGCTAATTTTGTTTACTTTTTGTAGAGATGAGGTCTCACTCTATTGCCTAGATTGGTCTTGAACTTCTGGGCTCAAGCAATTCTCCCACCTCAGCCTAAAGTGGAATTACGGGTGTGAGCCATTGTGCCCGGCCAAGTTTGTGGCAATTTTTAAGGGCAGCCTTAGGAAACGAATACAGCAGGAAACAAACAAACAGAAGGAAATTGACAGATTTCATGTTGCATTTGGTGATTTGGAAACTAGCTTTGGAAAGTTTTTCAGAGAATTTGGGAGAACTAATAACAGCAATATATATATGTATTTTTTTAAATAAGCAAATGGGTCAGGTGTGGTGGCTCACACTTATAATCCCAGTTCTTTGGGAGGCCAAAAAGGGACGACTGCTTGGGGTCAGGAGTTAAAGACTAGTCTGGGCAGCCTAGTGAGACTACATCTCTACCAAAAAAAAAAAAAAAAAAACAGTCAAGCAAGGTGGTGCATGCCTAAAGTCCTAACTACTCAGTAGGCTGAGGCGGAAGGATTGCTGAGCCCAGGAGTTCAAAGCTGCAGTGAGCTATGATTG